GCCCTGCCGTGCCCTGCCCTGCCCTGCCCTGCCCTGCCCTGCCCTGCCCTGCCCTGCCCTGCCCTGCCAAGCTGTTGTCTCATCGCATACTGTGTGTCCGCCTTGTTTTGCACCGCCACGGTCGAAAACTCTCCTGCCTAACAAGGTGTGGGCACCCACAAACCCTGGTGTGAGGTCGCACCATCTTAGCATGGACTCGAGGCCGGCTGTCGGTGTACAAAGGCTGACCTTTCGGTCGGAGCCTTGTAGAGTCTAAGTTTTTTGTTTAATGGTTTAAAGTTTTGCGTTCATGGTTATGCTTGGAAAAAGAGATTGCTTATGTACTTACTTCCGAAACATCAAACCTTCCACCGAAACCTGAACCCAGTCCTGTAAGCCCCAAGCCCTACATCCATCCCGGCTCCGAAACCCTCACAACACAATCCTGCGCCCCTGAACCCAGGAAGCGTCAGAGTTGAGACCAAAACGCCCAAGACGTGTTGGGCTCTCCGGGTAGAGCATCCGTCGCAGGCTAGTCAAGGTGAACTGCAAGGTCCGGTATCTGCCGGACAACTCCTTCGAGGATCCGGGTCGGGAGTTTGGGGTCCAGGCTCTAAACCCTTAAACCCTAAAGCTGTTGGTTAGTTCAACCCCAGAGCCTGAAGGCCCGAGATCCCTAAGAAACTACAAGGGCCTGGATAAGTATCTATGTTGTTTCTCAGGGCCGAGGGTTTCTTTTGCGAGGTATAGCATGAGACCCTTAGATGCCCCGCAGACTGTCAACCTTATACCTAAAACTTTGCCAACATACTCGCCTGGCATGTTCCAGAGTGAGCCACCGAAACCCAAAAAAACACGAACCGGAAATCCTCGCTTCAAAGACACCCGAAACCTTGGAATGCATGATGCAAAGCAGGATCATGTTTCGACTTTTAAGTTGACATCACCCACCCCCGGCGACCAGCAGAAGCATGCTACCAACCTAAACCCTAAACCCCAAACNNGATTCATTTTGGGGTTTAGGGTTTAGGGTTTAGGGTTATGGTTGTTGCGAGCACTTACTTGTGTTGTCAGCCCTGGTGTTGACAATGTCGTAGACACAGACAAATAAAGCATGTACATGTCGTGCCTGCGACCGGTCATCAACTACCCGGGACATGTTGGATAGCTTGGTCGTCGGCATTAGCAGCTGGAACCATGACAGCTAGTCCTCACATTGTCTGGCTGTTGCTGATTGAGAGTCTGGTAAGCGTTCGTACTGCACCACACCCTACCACAACCCTGGTGCTGCAAAGTCGAGTGAAATATTCCGAAAGCCCACCAGGCAACCTAAACCCACATCCAGCTAGTTAGCCAGGTGTGCAGAAACACATGTGAAGCTCCGCAATAAGCGAAAAATCGATGCTGGCAGCACAAAAAGCTCCAGCCAATGAAAGAGCAGGGAAAGATTTGTTGATGTGCCACTAAAGCCTCCCCGTCGGAGCTTCATATTGTACCTTCACTTTTTGCTGCTTGACCACAACTTGGCACATGTCGCGAAGTGCGCTTCGATTGAGTATCCCTGGAAGTTTACCCTAAACCATGAACCCGAAAGGGCCTATAAAACCGTGCGTTGATCGTGCTTGAAGCTTGAAGCGTGGAGTTGGCTTCGAGGAAAGACATAGCTTTTGGCTTGTGAAAAACATTTATCTCCATGAAGATCTCCCTGCTGGTTCTCTTGGCCTGGTCATGCCATGCTTCCAGATTGACCGGCAGCACACAAGGTTCTGTGGCAGAGTGGCAAGGTGTACTAGGCGGGCAGCGTTTGTTGCTGGATCTGAGGTTTCAGCTTTGTTTTCCCGCTCCACTGCTCCACAGTTTTCGCATAATTTAGCAGAGGCTGAGTTGACTGGACCTATGCGTCATCCACATGAACGCCATCGGAAACTGATGGTTTAGGGTGGAGGGTGTTTTCACAAGCTTAGGCTTTCCCCCGCAGGGTGAAGATGCTCCTTTATCTGCCCGTCCGTTCACCCTAAACCCTAAACCCTAAACCCTAAACCAACTGGTTTCACGCCCAAGCTGCCTTGTGCAGGGCTTATGTCCGGCCGCGCTACTGCCGTTGGGGTGGAGCCTCTGGTCGTGGACCTGGTGAATCATAGCCCCACGCCCTATTTGAAGTCGACGGCGAAGCCACTTGACGAACTATCCGAGCTTGCGGCTTTTTGGGTGCTGACATAGCCTCTCGTACAAACCAAGGATCATGTTGAGCATAGTGGAGTCTCAGATGAAGGAGGAAGTGAAGAAGAGCTACAAGGACCAGGTCAATGTTCTTCTCAAAGCGTTCGACATCTGCAGCAAGGACGTGACTCAACAGCGAAGACTCCATCAGGAAATAGAGCCCGAGGACAGAATACTAGACTAGAGCGTCGTGTCACACCTAATTCCTTAACAACGGTATCTCCTCACATCGGATGCGCCCCGCACACGAAGGAAAGACTTCGATAGTTCTGGTGCAGGCACTAGAATCGACTATTGGGACTAAACCCTACCCTAAACCCTAAACCCTAAACCCTATGCAACTGCAGCGCATCTGTGCATTCCCGACGCCGTTGATATAGGGAGCCTGCTCAGAAGCACAGGCGAATCTGTCACCCCAGATTGACTCATCGTATATGAGGTTTATAGGAAAATAGGGGACCCTAAAATCGTACCCTAAGTAATAGGATCCTTATGATAAGGACCCCAAAGTAAAATTAAATAATAAGATCCTTATTATAAGGACCCCCAAATAGAATTTAATAATAGGATCCTTACTATAAGAACCCCAAAATAAAGTACCCGAATTTTCGGAAACTCCCATATGCCAAGGCTGAAGAGGCCGGTGGAGGCCACAAGACCACTTTCGATGCGGAGAACGTCAAGCACGCGTTGTGCCGCAAGGAGACGCCGGTTTAGGGTTTAGGGTTTAGGGTTTAGGGCATTTGGTGCACACGGAACCACTCGCCAAAGCCGTGTAGGTGGCTGCTTCAGTAGTGTCTTGTACAGGATGAGGCTGCTGCTTACTCCGTCAGCGAGGCCTGCAACAAGGACTCAGAGCTATCAAGAAGGGCCGCTGTAGTTCTAAAGCCGGAGCTGCGTCCCTTAGAGGAGTTGACGGCTGCTGGCAACGAGCAGAAGACACAATGCGATGAGCTGATCCCTCTGGAGTCGTCGCAGTCAAGCACACCACCAGCAGATGGCACGTGTCGTCTCGGGCCTAGATCTGTCCACATCCTGGGTCCCAGCTGAGCCGAGGATCACTGCTTATGTCTCGCGAAGCAAGCGACGAGGGGCACGAGGAGCAGCTGAAGCGACTGCAAAACCTCATCGCAGCCAACCTTGCAGCGTGGGGAGAGCAGAAAGCACCTCGAAATCACCACTGACAGGCTGAACATGTCTAGATCGGAGCGATCCCGCCGGCGCCTGGTGCCGGAGCTTAGGATAAGTGCACCAATGCCACTGCAGCAGCGGCGACCAAGAAATCTGAATGTGATCCCAAGGCCGCGAGACAGTCTGGCCATGTTTCAACCCAAGTAGAAGTCGTGGCTTGAATCTCACATATCAGCAAGTTGTCGAAAAAACATATACTCAGAACAAAGCACGCTTCGGTTGCAGTCGGTCATACGTGTAGACTTCTTCGAGATGTCCTTGAACCAGGCTGCGGCCCTCAGTGATTTGAGGGAAAAATGCAACGGACACTCGACTATGCGATGAGGGGGAGCTTGCCCGGGATGCCACCCCTAAACCCTAAACCCTAGTGCAAACACAAAGCCACCTGTAGGATGACCGTCAGAACTGAGGAGTGCAAGACACCATGGACAGCGCCTCCTGTTCCTACTACCGATCCATGGACACCGCCTGCAACGAGTGCTACAAGTCCGCGAAGGCTTTCATCGACTACTTTAGGGTTTAGGGTTTAGGGGCTGACAGAAAAGTTGCAGATTGACTTTTGACGAGTCGGTGCCTTTCTGTCAGACAAACTACGAGAACGGCAAGTCCCTCCTAAAGACCCTGGAGCAGGTGACGTCTGGTTGTCGTAACGTAGCTGCGGTTTTGGGGTTTAGGGTTTAGGGGTTTAGGGTCTGCACTGTGTGACTATGTCTCCATCTTGACATGCGCAAGTCATCAGCTGCATTGCATGCGGTCGTGCTGTATTGATCCTGCCGAAGGAGTGGGACAGTATCATGAAGATCCAGTGCTTGCTGCAAACCTTCGTGGAGCAGGATGCTTCCGGAGAAAACCCTAAACCCTAAACCCTAACCCCTTCTTCCTGGCTTCCCTGGGTTTCCCTAAGTTGGCAACAGCTGCAACTCCTGGGGGCCTGACGGTTTTACGCTTCCCGAGGACAACAAGACCGGATCAACAGCAATCAGGGTTTAGGGTTTAGGGTTTAGGGAAGGAAGGGAAGCAGGAAGCTGACTCTGCTGTTGCTGCAGCTACTAACACTAAAGGCGACTGGTGCTACTGTTTATTCTACTCTGCTGCTTTTGCTACTGCTACTGCT